AATTTAAAGCTCAATTGAACTTTCATTTTAAATCAGCTAAATGTATTCCAGGTTAATCAAGACAAAAGGTGTCTAATGTCTTACAGTATGTTTTTTTTCCTAAAGCACCTACAGCCTAATTTAGAAAAGTCTATCCACTAAGCAGCAGCTGCAAAGTAGGACCTCGCTTTCTGTGTGGAAGCAGTGGACTCTATGCAGAGGACTAATGTTGACTACTGAGCCAGACCTGAAGCACTGCAATCAGCACTGCTCAAGCTCCTTGCTGATTGGAGAGATCTGGCTCTGACTCAGGAGGGGGTGTGTCCTGTCTATGCAGAGAGATCACTGCTTCCACAAAGAACAAGGTTCCCACTCTGGTTATCACTGATTTTTAATGGAAAAAAACTTTCAGGTTGAATTCATACCAACCTGCATGCTGAAACACTTGCACAATGGGGAGCTGTTTAGGGGTAGTGAGATTCGTTGTTACAATGCATTGTACTGTTTACTTTTTTTATATTTTTTTCCTTTTGCTCCTTAAAAAATGTATACATGCTGCATTTTTTGCAGCGCACATGTATGGTGTGAATAAGGCACATGAAAAACTATTTTTGCATTGAGCCTGCATTGATCTATGAAACATCAACGCAGCTCAGCAGACATGGCATGAACAAGGGCTTTGAACTCTTCTTTGTTTTGATGCTCCTGGAATGTATTCAGCTGATTTAAACTGAAAGTTCAGTTGGGCTTTAAAGCCAATTGCAACAAGTTAGTGGGTGACTGGTCCTGCCTCATCAACCTAACATTGGGATATAGCCTTCACATTTTGTTTATTGAAAGTAATTAATTTCCTCAGCTTTCACAATTGCAACATATTATAGAAATATAATTACAGTGTTTAGGTGCATCTCCCTTCGAATTAAGCTAATGAGCTACTCTATTTGGTTTGAATATATTATTTTCAGTTAAACTAGTATGATAGTCATGTTTCTGCCAGCTTGGAATTCTGCTGGTTATGTCCTAACATCTGCATGTAATTGCTTGAAGCTTACGCAACAAATAAAATGATAAACTGCAGTATTGCACTCAACACTGAACTTAACAATGAACTTCTCGCTTCCTACTTTTTGGTCTGTTAAAAACACCAATAGAAGCATTTTATTATGTTTATTCAGTAAGTGCAAAAATACCCTTTGATCCTGCCAGAAAATGTTAACGGTGTTTCCAGTGTACTTTTTGAACTACAGAACACCTTTACCCAATGTTATGAAGATGAAGAGGAGGTGTTCTATAGACCTAAAATACTTATTTTCCTAAGGTGACAATGCTGCTCCTCCATTGATACAGTACAGTGAGTGAACGTTGTCACCCAGGGACAAAAAATGTTTTCCAAATTGTAAAACTACATCCATCCAAAGGATTGGTAAACTACAATATATTAATGTTTTGTTCCTGTGTTCAGAAAAGATTTAAAGGATAAGTTCACTTTTAAAATAAAATATTAAAGGTCCATTTTTTTGCAGGTAAAAAAATGTGCATTTACTATTTTTTTTAGATCACTGGTGCCATGTAGGACTCCTGCAGACTGTCAGTGTAATCTGTGTGCTCACCTTGTACAGGCAGACAGTTTTACACTGACAGGAAGACTCAATGAACTACCACAGCACTTAAGAGCGCTGTTGTAGTTCACTGAGATTTACAAGCCGAAATCTGCAAAGGCTGTCAGGACTTGTAGTTCATTTGTTCACAGAACTCTGTGAATGAATGACGCAGGTGTGTGGGAGGGGGGAGGAGCCCCGCATAGCCACACTCTTTTCAAAAAGTGACAGCTAGTATGGGGAACTTCTCCCCAGACCGCTGTCACAGAGAGAGGGCAGCGGCTGCAGCAGTGGGTACATTTTCACAACTGTGAACTTATCCTTTAAACAGTTTTTCATATTATCAAATATAATAAATAATAAAATAATTAATCCATTGGGCTTATCTTTGTATTTTGGAGTTCAAGAACCATAGCAAACAATTTGGCACTGTGACTTAAAGTGATACTAAAGCTTTGGTTTTTTTTAAAAATAAAATAACAAACATGTTCTACTTACCTGCTCTGTGCAGTGGTTTTGCACAAAGTTTCCCAGATCCTCTTCTTTTTGGGACCCCTCCAGTGCTCCTGGCTCCTCTCCCTTGAGCAGTGCCACCAGAGAAAGCTGCTTGCCCTGGGGACACTGCTGCATGCTCGCTCTCGATCCATTGCTCTATATATCCATAAGACACAGAGTTGCAGCTCAGCCCCACCCTCTTGCTCTCCTCAATGGCTCTTTGGCTGTGATTGACAGCAGTGGGAGCCAATGGGCTCCCGCTGCTGTCTCAGCCAGTGAGGAGGGCGAGTCCCCTTATAGCCGAGATTATTGTGAACATCGCTGGATTGGAGGGGGCTCAGGTAAGGATTGAGGGGGGCTGGAGGGGACCGCTGAACACAGAAGGTTTTTTCCTTCATGCATAGAATGCATGAATTCTGTCTATAGGTCCCATACCATTTAAGGGCCTCACAACAATGGATCCAAAAATTATTGATTTGACCGGAAAAGAAAATTATAATAAAGCTGTCCTAAATTGTTTACAAATGATTGAAAAAAAATGAATCAACTCAAAGAAACTAGAACACTTTACATTAAATACTCTATAGAGAAAATACTGTAATAATGTAATGCACCTAATACCAATTTAAAGTACATAAACCATAGACATCGGGTTTACATTACTAAAACTGGAGCACTCATTTGTTGCAGGTGTGCATAGTAGCCAATCAGCTTCTAACTTCAGCTTGTTCAATTAAGCTTTGACTATAAAACCTGGAAGCTGATTGATTTCTATGCAGAGCTGCTCCAGATTTTGCACTCTCTAGTTTTAGTTAATCTCCCCCTTTGTCACTTAAAAGCTCATCTTTTTTCAGTCATCAGGTTGGTGCAACCTACATCTATGTAATGTACAGTAGTGATGGCCATCTCCATCTAGTGGCTGACATCCACACTATATAGTTCAATGTTATCCCACTAGAGCGCAAGCATGATCAACCTCCAGAAACCTGCAAAGGAGGCCCCTGGTTTTGACTGCCTAAGGGCCTCCACTTAGATTTTTGAATGAACATCTGTACGAACATTTGTATGAAAATACTGAGCATATTCCATGACTTGATGAAAGTTTTTTGAAAGTAATTCTAATTTTCCTTTGCTTGTAACATTTGATTGGAAATTTGTTTGCCAAGAAAATTTTTCCAACCTACTCTTTTAAATTTTCCCATCATTGCGATTTAAAATGAAGGTTGATTTGGCCCAACTAACAATTTGAAAATGGAATGAACGTTCTTAAAATATAATGCAGGAAGGAAAAAATCCTTGCGTCTTTACAGCCATTTTAATGACTGGAATCTGATTAGCTCTAGGATGAATAAAAGTACTCTTTCTTGTGCAGTTTTTGTAATAAAACGTACAGACATTGGTATAAACCTGGCAGAGATTAGCACTCACTTTCAAGCATACTCTGTAATCTAGGTATCATGCTGTGATTCCCAGCAACATTAAACTGTAAACTCACTGAAAGATTCACAATTTCTCAAAAATCATTGCTATGTTTACTAAATTGTCAACAGCACGTAAGAATATTTTATAGAGATTAAATATGTTTTCTGATTTTAACATCGTGTGGTTAAAAAAATAAATAATAATTGCACATTGAAAACATTTTTCTTCATTTATATGGAAGTGTAAAGCTTTACATCACAGCCTGTGTGACACATTAGTTGTTTAGCTCCCCCTTCTGGCCTTTTTGTGGTTGGTAGAAATTAAACTTGGATTTTTCATTTTATTGTCTGCAAATAGTACATTGGATTTCATGGTTTGTTGACAAGTCCCACTTAACTTGCCTAATTAAACTAATTTAATTACTTTCTAAGCTGTTGTTATAAATATATAACATTTACACATTATTATAAATATATAAAACATAACTCATTTAAATAAAATGGTATATTCCAATCATTTCATCAGTGTTATTTTTAGTGTTTTAGATGCTGTTTAAAGTGTAGAAAGCAATTCAAAATCATGTTTTTAATGAAAATATAGCACGCGGTGTACAAATGTAAGAGAAATAAAAGAGCTGAGATACTTCTTTCTAAGATAAAATTCTATTCCAGCCTCCCTCTAACACTGATCAAGTAAGCAAAATAAATAACGTGACCCAGTGCCTAGGCTTTTGGTCATATGACCATTGCAGAATAAAGCCTGGAGTAGAGTATTATCCAGGAAACATATTTTACCTCTTGTATTACTCTTTTTTTTTTATCCATCCCAGCTAGAATGGTAACCAACTATATTGCTAAAAGTATTGGGACGCTTGCCTTTACACACACATGAACTTTAATGGCATCCTAGTCTTAGTCCGTCAGGTCCAATATTGAGTTGTCCCACCCTTGGCAGCAATAACAGCTTCAACTCTTCTGGGAAGACTATCCACAAGGTTTAGGAGTGTATCTATGGGAATGTTTACCCATTCTTCCACAATTTGTGAGGTCAGGCACTGATGTTGGACACGAAGGCCTGGCTTGCAGTCTCCACTCTAATTCAACCCAAAGGTGTTCTATCGGGTTGAGGTCAGGACTTTGTGCAGGCTAGTCAAGTTCCTCCATCCCAGACTCACTCATCCATGTCTCTATGGACCTTGCTTTGTGCACTGGTTTGCAGTCATGTTGGAATAGGAAGGGGCCGTTCCCAAACTGTTCCCACAAAGTTGATGCCTTAGGCGTTCCCTTCACAGGAACTAAGGGGCCAAGCACAACCCCTGAAAAACAACCCCACACCATAATCCCCCTTCCACCAAACTTTACACTTGGCACAATGCAGTCAGACAAGTACTGTTCTCCTGGCAACCGCCAAACCCAGACATGTCCATTGGATTGCCAGACAGAAAAGTCTGCAGCATGCTTTACACCACTGCATCCAACGCTTTGCATTGCACTTGGGGATGTGAGGCTTGCATGCATCTGCTCGGCCATCGAAACCCATTTCATGAAGCTCTCTATGCACTGTTGTTGTGCTCTGAAGGCCAAACAAAGTTTGGAGGTCTTTAGCTATTGACTCTGCAGACAGTTGGGAACTTCTGCGCACTGTGTGCTTCAACATGCATTGATCCCTCTCTGTCATTTTACATGGCCTACCACTTCGTGGCTGAGTTGCTGTTTTTCCCAGTTGCTTCTACTTTGTTATGATACCACTAGCAGTTGACCGTGGAATATTTAGTAGCAAGGAAATTTCACGGATGGACTTATTGCACAGGTGGCAACCTATGACAGTACCACCTGAGAAATCACTGAGCTCCTGAGACCCATTCTTTCACAAATGTTTGTAAAAGAAGTCTGCATGCCTAAGTGCCACCTCCTGTGGCCATGGAGGTGATTGGAACACCTGAATTCAATGATTTGGAAGGGTTTCCCAGCACTTTTGGCAATATAATTGTATACACGTATACAATTGTTGGGTGTGCAGACACAGGAAGTAGCTTAATGCCTAAAATTAAAACTGATACTCAAGCTGGATCTTGTATTTAAGAGGCTACTGTACTGAATGTGCCTCTGGGGAAGCTGATCCTTATTCTGGAGGGCATTACTTGCTTTATGCAAAGCCTAAGGCTGGCTATGCAGCCAGCATCTGTTTGGAGTTTGAAATTTTGCATCAGGCTTCTTTAGTAAAAGTTGATTGAACAATCAACTTTTATCGAATGGAACATTGCGAGCAGGGCAATACACTGCTCGAATTTTGATCAAACCAGCAGGATTAGACTGAAATTCAAGCAGTGGACGGCCAGCTTGATAATCTGGCAAAGAGAAGGCACAAGTGTAGATGTGAGAGCAAGTGAGCCAGGATCTGGGCCAGGCTGAGAGCAGCCCCACATAAAAATATTGTACCCAGCATCTTTCTTGCCAACACTGCCTCATCAGCAAGATGAGGCTATGAGGTTTTATGGGGCTACAGATTACTAACCACTTTGTTTTGTTGATAAAGAAGAGCTGGATGCATTTAACTATTCCTGATTTATCCATTACGTTAGCAGGCCTCACCCTCTACTTTGCAGGCCACACCTCTGACACAGGCACCACTGTTACTGAGAGACACTGCAGCCCAGACATTGAACTTTTGATGCTAAAATGGAGACTTTTTTTCTTGCAGAGGGAATGTTCAGCAGTTTTTTGTTGTTGTTGTTGTTTTACAGCCATCAATGCCCAACACTGAGCTAATGTTAAGCTATCTTAAAAGAGAAGTATGACCAAAGGTTATTTGGCCATACTTTATCATCTGGGTCACAGAAGTGCACTTACTTTTGCTCTCCTGTGACCAGAGTCAGCTAAAAACAGACTATTGCCTGCTGTCAGCTGAAGTCACAGAGCTGCTCCAGCCTCTGGGAGGATCTGGACCATATTGTCAGGATCTACGCAGCTGCCTGATTGGCAGCTGGCTCCGGTTCTCAGTACTGTGCGCTCTAGTGAGAGCTGGGGGTGCAAAGAGGAGAGTGGTGATTCACAGTAATGCTTTCTGCTCAAAGCTGTCTGAGAAATGAAAGATCAGCGGTCATGTGATCATTCAGTTCTTGTGCTTAGAGGGGGACAGCTGCAACATTAGACTGAAGCTGCAGCATGTAGGTGAGTATGTATGTTTGCTTTTATACTGATCTATTCGATTAGCCAGATCTTCACCTTTAAGCCATCTTAGTACTGTTTACCAAAGTTTTACAAGAACATTGACATTATGCCTAGGTTCATACTAGTGCTGCTGCATGTGTGTTTTTAGTGTGTTTCTGATGTGCTTTTCATGCATTTTTGTTTTGGACAGTGACTTGCAATATTCAATATTAACAATGTAATTCAAAAAAATAAATGTAGAGTTTCCCTAATCAGAAACCCTGGCTCAACCATGATGTGCAAGCACTGCTCAGAGCCCTAGATGCAGCACTCAGATCAGGTGATGGGGAGACCTACCATTAAAACCCCCTAAACAATTTTAAACACAATATTGAGGATAATTTTAAGAAAAATTACCTCCATGCCATGTGGCAAAGGAACAGAAAGATTACTAGTTACTTGCTACAAACTACAACACCTCCTCCTCAATCAACACCTGTTTCTAGACCAGCTCAATACATTTTTTGTTTGCTGAGGACAGCCATATCCACCATTTCACCAGAAAGTGATCCTCCACTTATTCCCCAGCATTACCAAATCAAGCAGGCTATACATAGCATTGACAGCAATAAGGCAGCAGGGCCTGGGATGTTATGGGCATGCACCAAAGACATGAGCTGACCAGCTTACTGCAGTGTTCACAAATATTTTTATCTCTCACTACAACAAGGCAAAGTCCTTCCCCATCTAAAAACTGCATTATCCCCCTACCTAAGACCTCAGCAGTCACAAGCCTAAATGATTACAGGTCAGTGCCTCTCATTTCAGAGTGTTCATCAAGGTTTTTGAGAGCCTGGATCACATTGAGGCTTATATTCATTCTAATTTTGACCAGCACAAGTTTGCCCTCAAGGTTAGGTCCATAAATGATGCAATTTCATTGGTGCTTCACACAGCTCTCACTCACCTAGGTTAATTATATCAGAATGCTGTTTTGTTGGATTTAGTTTGACATTTAATTCCTTCAGTCTGAACAAACCTTTCAACAAACTACACACACTAGATCTAAGAACTCCTCTCTGTGGATAAACAACTTCTTAACCATTAAGTCCCAGTATGTCAGGCTGGCCAAATATACCTCCTTTACCATTATCCTCATCACCATTGTCCACAAGCTTGTGTCCCTAGTTCACCTGTCATTTTGTTTGATTGCACTCCCATCCACAGCTCCAATGCCTTTATCAAATTTGCAGACAACACAACCATAGTGGGTGTAAAACAGCCTACAGGGAGGATATTTCCAGGATTTTCTGTGTGGTGTATGGACAATAATCTGAACCTTAACACAAAAAATATATCAATTACTTCAGAAAAAACAAAACTAATACATCATACTGGACTGCATATTAATGTGTGCAAGAGACTCCCTCAAAAAGTGTTGCTACATTTTTATTGTAGTACAATAAAGGGAAGTCTGATGGTGGTGGATGGTATGTACAGGAGAGGGGTGCAGAGTATATGGCAGTAGATGGTATGTACAGGAGACGGGTGCAGAATGTCTGGCGGTGGATGGTATGTACAGGAGAGGGGTGCAGAATGTATGGCGGTGGATGGTATGTACAGGAGAGGGGTGTGGAGTGTATGGCGGTGGGTGGTGTGCACAGGAGAGTTAGTGTCAGTCATTTTTAGAACAGGTAGTACACAGTAAGTGGTGATGGTAGGGGGATGAGCTAGGTGTCTCCCCCCCCCCCCCACTGGAATGCCAATTCAGTCACAATGAAGCTGTGGATGTTACAACATTGTTTGTTAGCTTACAACAGCTTTGTTCAAAGTGGTGAGACTATCACAGCAATGCAGCTATTTCATCGAGAATTCAATGTTGGTTGACACAGGGCCATTTTCAGTCGCAACACGGTCCTCAGGTGGCTTGAACATTTCAGAACAACCGGAAACATTATGATCAAGAAACCACCTGGCCCTGCCTGCACTGCAAAGACACCGGAAAACATTGCAAGGGTGAGAGAGGCACTGGTTAGGAGTCTGGGATAGTCTGCTCGAAGACATGCAAGTGAGTTAGGGTTGAGTCGTGAATCAGTGAGAATCATTTTACAGAGAGATTTAAGATTCCATCAATACAAAATAAGGGGGTACATGAAGAGCCGTGTGTACACTCATAAACCCCGTAATTTGAATGAACTGAAGGATATCATTTGAGAGGAAGTGCCCACAATTGATCAACAGCTGTTGGCCCAAGTGATGGACAATTTCAAACAAAGGATTGAAAGCTGCATTCAAGAGGATGGTCGTCATCTAAATTACATTATTTTTCATAACTGAATAAGTAACTGAAGTGGCATGTGTTGACCTCTGTTTTTGTAAAAATAAATACATTTCGAGTTGAAAATCTACAGAGGACTGTTTTTTTTCAAAACCGTCTGACTTCCATTGGTCACCCTGTACAATACTATATATTTTCTCGTTCTTTCATCCTTTTTATCTTTTTATTACCCACTCTCTTAGTTAACTGGGGTAAAATTAGTACATGTAACAGTCTGTAATATGTTTTCATAAGGAAACACAAGTGTGCGCATAAAACCATGTTATCTTGTTGTAATGCTTTTATTTATTTATTTTTAGAAAATGATCCTTAACACCTAGCTAGGTGTTATGGGCCTTTTTCTGCTGTATTGTGAATTAGTTTCTTTCTGTTATATTTTCCATTGCACTGCACATATGTACCTTATATTTTTTGTAAAGGTATCTGTACGCTAGGAAGTATATAATTGGTTACCTAAAATCTCATAGATCCTTTCTCCTTTTTGAGGCACTACCATAGTGTTAATCAGTTTAAATAGTTATACTCTAATAGAAATAAGTATTGGGTTTACACTTATTTCCTTTATTTATTATGGTCAGCAATAAAGAAATAACATTTGTAAAAATATTTTTCTACTTTTCCAGTAAATATTTAAACAATTATTGTTACCTTTTCTTACCACAAAAGCCTCTTTTGTGTGCAAATTTGAAAATAATTTCACTTTGCTGATTAATAGAGGCCTTACTTCTAGGATATCAAGATTTGCTGGGTTTAAAAATAATAATTTTGCCTAAACAGAATATTGAAAGATTTACCTTTTTTGTCTAAAATTCCTCCTGAAAAATAGATAAGCACTTCTTATGCCCTGAGCTTCATAGCCTATATATATATATATATATATATATATATATATATATATACATATATATATATATATATATATATATATATATATAAAAATGTTAGATCTAAGGCACTGTTGTCACTGCTAATCTCATGGGATATGGTAATGTCACTATTATCCTACTCACTGTTCTCCTTTCTGGAGAGAAAGCTGTACCTGCATTGTAAGAATTTCCCTGCAACTTCTTCATCATGTGGATCTGTGCTTTCTCCACCTCTTCTGCTGCTTCTTTTTGATTCTGTCACCAGTCATCAGGGGACAGCTGTGAGGAAGCATAGCTCTGCTCTATTGCCAAGACAGTAAACTACACATGAGACACAGTAACAGGGAAAACTGCTGGAGCCCACTGGACATATTGCTGACTAGTCCTTTGCCTTCTGTTTAGGCACATCTTCCATAGTTCAAGCTGACTTTAAGCTCCACCGGCTTTCATTCCCCCATCCAGTGAATTTTCTGGCATCAGGGATATTAGTAGCTAAATGAAACTAATTTCAGAGGAGCACACTCAGAAGTATGTTCTGGCTA